ACTTTTCAGCGAAGTCCAAACAGAAAAACGTTAAACGCGGTCAAACTAGGACCGCGCGCGATACGCTGACCACTGCCGGAATTTCCTACTTCTGTCTGCGCTCTCTCAGCGGGACAGTGTTCGGCTCATTAAGTACGAAATCTGTTCGGAGAGGCGACCGAGGAGGCATACAATTAACAAGTTTGAACTCAAAAATGGATAGGAATCAAAATTGCAGTAAGATAGCGTGTCTGCACCCCTCATAACCTGTCTTCTTTGAGGTTATGATGGGTGCAGACTTCAATCGCCATATTATAAAAGGCAATAAAGTAAATTGTTCTGGTTTACCGCTATCGTATTCGACTGCATTCTCAGAATACATCTGTACGATACGTCGGGCACGTTCTACTTTCTTCTCAGCACTAAGACTACTCCAGTTGAGAAGCGTTTCATTTATTCGGCTCATTTCATGAAGCGGTATCAGTTGTGGCAGTAAATGTGCCACATTCGCTCCACGATTTTCAACCAGCCAATCGAATAGTTTCACCGGATCTGAAAGACCATCTGATATCAACCAGGACGTACCTTTGATAAGAGTTGCATGCACATGCGCAGACGATGATGGTAGTACTGAACGTCTTGTCGTCGATAAGGTGACGAATTTGGTGGTCGGCGTGGTCGTGGTTGAAGCCGACGTCGTTGTCAACAGTAACGGCATACCATACATATCACACGGAGGTTCAAGGCATGCAAGCGGTTCCTTTCGAGATTTTCGTGCACGTTTCTCGATACGTGATGCATACTTGTTACAAGTTGTAGTAGTAGCTATTGAGTAATCGATATCATGACGTTCCTTATCATTTGTAATTTGCCACAAACAGATACATTCCATTGGAATTGATGCAGGCGGTAATGCGAATGCAGCACCGGATCGCATTGCAAAGTAGTCACAGAAATCTGAAATCGGGTTTCACACCATGCCAGCAAACCATGCATCACACCATAACAAAAAGTTTTGTTGGTACTGTAGTACAATTAAGGCTTCCACAATACGGTTACGACGTCAAAACTGTTTTTATTCCCTCCCTAATTTGTTGCTCTTATAACAAACACATTTTTCTTCTTTTTCAATCGAATCACATTTCATCTGATTGAATTCCATCATACAATCAATCGCAATTCATCTTTGAGGTATTTCTTTTAACGTGAACTTGTTCCTAATTGGGAAATCCGGACTGAGGCAGGTGAGCCGAAACCCTACATAAGATTTCGTTCAGAATGAGGGATACCAAAAGAAAGGGAGTACGAGAACGGGAGAATTATTCCTGTACCCTTCACGGGACCTCAACTGCGGTTCAAAAGTTAGGCTGCAGAAAAACTTCTTACAATATTTGGTTTTACAGCTGTAATTTTAGTTGAATTCAGTCGAGTATCAAGTCTATGAGGAATAGAAATTTATGAAATTCCTTTAGGTTTGGGGTATCCGAAAAGGGCGTTCCCGAGTGAGAAAGGGAGGGGTTCCCTTTGTCGAGATCGCTTATCGTGACAACTCAGCTCTAAGTACTCGGACGTTTGGGGTTATGAGTTGTGGCAGGGTAGTCCAGGCATCGTAACCGAATTGCTGGAGCAAGAAAAGAGGAAATGATGAATAAGTAAAAAAGGAAAGAAGGAGAGGAACGCATGCTCAATCATAAAATTCCAATCCATGCTAACTTACCTATAATTTCGACAGTAAAATTTCGATCCACTTTACCGAGATGGTTGCTTACTCTGCATGTCCACAATCCCTAAAAATGATTACTGGTCAGAATTGAAATATTGTAAAAAAGGAATTTAAGTAAAAAACATGGTAAGGATTAATTCGGTGGAGGATGTCTTCAGTTTAATCCGAATCCTCATCTTACTAAGAAATTTCAAATAATAGGTTTTATTAAACAACAAAAAGGATGGTTTTAGTTTGATACCTGATCAGAAACTTCAACGGCTTTGATGTCGAGCGTCATATGTTTTTTATTTTCGCGAAAACGATGTCCAAATGCCTCTTTGTTTAGCAATTCGCCGTTTCGATACCATTTTACTTCTAACGGCGACTTGGACATAGCCAAACATGTTAGTTTCACCTGTAAAATGACATCATTGAAAAGAGCAAAAAAAGAAGAAATTGAGAATAACAGCGTCAAGTCAACCGTGGTAGCCATTTTTTCAGTAACTTGACAGTGATTGATCGAAATTGAATTCACTACAAAATCTGGTTTGAGTCTGACACGGCGTAAATTGCGCTTTTCGTTCTGTGATAAAACATGATTGATCAGTTACTGGCCACGAAATGATTTCACTGTTGGAAGACTTGTTTACATGCCAAAGCAATAGATTCTTCAAGTAGTTAAGGTGTCAAACATTCCATCACAATCTTCTCTTTCTCCTGAACTCGGGCCCCAAGCCCGACTCTGAGCCTGTATAGTGGACTACGATAGTGTGGGGAAATGACCTGCAGACGGCCATCTGATGTTCATTTGCCAATGTTTTCTCTCACCAAGACATTTTCTTGGCCACAAATTGACGGAACTAAGCTAAACCGGTATGGGCACTCCTGGAATGTGAAGAACGGCCGCGAACAATTTACACTGGCGCCATCAGGTCAGCAACCTTTCCACAATAAGATTGCAAGACATCCTCTACGGATGGGTCTACTTTGAAGAATATTGCAAACTTGTAATTAGATGTTGTAAAAGTTAGAGCAACCTCTCGGAAGGTAGCTGGTGCTGTCACCATCGTTCTCATTTCTAAGCAGCAGGTCCTACATTACTGCAATGCTGGGAGTTATCAACGGCCACACAAATGAACCTTTTCTTTTACATTATTTATAGGTGACTGACACCACAAAAATTGCACTTGGACCGTTTCCTCCATAGCTATATACCTACCGAATTATTCCAATTTTAGAATTATCGCTCATCAACCGTTTTCACCAACACCCATACGGTGTTCAGGCGTGGCCGGCGTTTACAAGGTCAGGTGGTTCAAAATATTCGTCTGTCAACGGTCACAAGGTTAATCCAGTGAAAGTAGATCATGTGGTTGATAAGTGGCACTAGCAGAAAATTTGTAGTTGTCCCCTCGGTTTAGGGTTTGGACTGACTGGGAACTGCGGCTTGTCCACCTCAATCCATCGAGAAAATATGAACGAAGCCCTTTGTGGAAGGTTTTTAGTGCAAAATATTCGTTGAAATGAAATTGAGCCATCGGGCATTGGGGCACACAATGATGTCGATTTGATTGATAGCGAACACTGTGAAGAAGAAGAATAAGGGAGAAATGGCTTCACTGGTCGATAACGGTTCGAACGTCAATGCAAAATTCAAAGAAAAATCAAAGGATGGATAAATCGAGAACCGAATTTTTCGAGTACAAACTAAAATGTTGGGAACGCAAGGGTTCGGACGTACCTTATCGCCAAGGAAAACTTCATGATTGAGCCGTTCAAACGTTTTGAATCGTGGTATTCCATCTGAAAAGATAACATTTCTTCGAAAGTATGGAGCGAAAAATCTGTAAGCTCTTCTAAGCACAGACAAGACCAGCCTTTGCACAACTATATTCATTAGATCCAACTTGATTTGGATTTGGTTTTCATCTGAAGCTTCCCAGAATTTTAGTCATTCCCTTTTCCAGCGGATACCTTTTCCTTCCCTTTTTGGCTAGGTACTCAGCTTCAACCAAATTTAACAATTTTTTCTGAGCATTTCATGATGGCCTCAGAAACTCTCGAGAATGTTCTTAAATGAGACCATGAATCATGGAGCGTGAATCATAGAGGCGTCAGAGAACTTTTACAAAACTTTGTGGTTTCTCAAGAATTTGACCTGAGAGAGCCCTGAATATGATAGTATTAAAATCATCATTGATGTGAGTTACATAATGAGGATCAAGATAATGAGCATCACGAACTTGGAAACACATGAATGGACATCTTCACTGTGAAAATTATTTTGAACCCCTCCCTCTTCAAGACTTTTTTATTTGCATAGTATAGTAGAGAAAGACGGTCGGACCTTTTCACGAAATCTCTGAACAAAGGAAGTGCTAAGCCTCGGGTCCCTGAGGCGAGGACGATTCGCTGGACCATCGGGCTCGTGACAGAGACGAACGGAGACGCTCGTTTGAGGGAATCGATGATCAATGGGACAAAAGGTGATGCAGGTGATAGCAGGAAAAACCTGGCAAGAGTACCTTGCCTGACCAGACGGTTAGAGACTAACAGTATGTCAGTTGACACTAGCCTGGATTCCCCTATTGGGTTCCCTTTTTCAGGACGACTATCACCTGTGCAAAAGGCTAACCAATAGAGAGGCCGCAGTGGTCTCATTATCCCCGCCTATTTGTTCACCATAGGGACAGCTCTTCACAAAACGTGGTTTCATCACTTACAAGGTGTCGAAAGGGCATAGCATTGAAGAAGAACATTTTGATTTGTAATGAACTTCTAAATTGACGTCGGGGTTAACTGCATTATCCGCGCAACCAAAAAACCCATCTCCGTCCGCAACCACGCCCATTTTGTTAAAATTCTGCGTGCAGGTTCTTCATAAAGGGACGAGTTCATGTCTTTGGCATCAAACTTGATCGCCGAAATGTTTTTATTCCACTCGATCGCTGTGCATGTATTCCATCCATAAATCTTACTGTCCAATTGTAAAGTGGATGCGGGAACGCCAATAGTTTTTCAATCCTCATAACGCTTCTGCCTTTTCCATCAACTTACAACCAGGGCGGCGTCCCGTCGCTGTGTTGGAGAGTGGACCGACGCCCCATCACAACGCCGAACGTCTCCATGGAATGACTTTATTGAAAAAAGGAAATCAGTGACTATGTATTAACACGAAGTGGACGTAGAAGGTTCCAGAATGGTTCTTACAATGTGTGTCACCCAAAGAGGTTTACGAGCTAGGCTTGCCCTCAGTTTTCATCAAAAGCTGTGGAAAATAAGGCAGTAGTATGGGCCGACTAGCAGGGAGCTCGATAAATGGTTGAGCAGGATTTTCAAAACATTACTGTCTTTGGTCAAGCCTGTGTACTAGGGGGCATTCGCTGGATCAGTACGGTACAGGTCAGGCAATCTCACGCCTTTTACTTCTTCATTCGGCGCAACTCAAGCTGGCGCAGGATTTGGAAAAATTCTCGTAAGAAGCTAAATAAACAGCAAGCCTCAGAGCTGGAAGAGCCAGAAAGTGTAGAATCATTCTGAAGTTTCAAAAGAAAAAATGTTGTCAAAGGCAAAACATGACTTGGACTGGCTGGGCCAATCCGATGAAAAGCGACTAGGAAAAAACGGGATCAAACTCCTTTAGCGAAATCTGTAATGAAAAGGAGAAATTATGAGGAGGTCATTCTAGTAAAGTGGTCAAGAAGTCGTATTCCTCATAGGAGCTCTCACAGCCCCCTCTATGTCCTTCCTTTTGAAGTTTGAGGCTTTTCTAGAAGTTCGGCAGGAGTGGAACTACGAGCTGAGTGAGAAGGCGAGGGAGGGGAGTTCAATGAAGCAGAATGAAATTGCTTTGAGAAAACCATTTCCATAATCAGTCCTAGCGCAAAATTGTTAGTCCGAAGAATAGTCAGTCATCGAGGAGCAGTAACTTTTGCTAACCCCATTTGTTTTGACTGAAACTACTTGATAAAATCCCTGCATATACCCAATTCATTCAGATACTAAAATACTGTAGTGAACAAGTAAAACGATACTCGAAGAATGAAGAATGTAGCAAGGTGACAACCTGAACGAGGCGCTATCCTTGAAATGTCATAAACCCTGATCAACAAAGCTTACCTTTTGTGTTGGAGGATTGTAACAATGGTTATGAACACCGGCATGAAGTGTGCCACGTAGGCCAACTCAGCACTCAGGTATTCACACGAATCTTTATAGCAGTAAGAAAAACT